TGAACATTCTAAATTTTTGTTTGTTATCCATGCTTACTCCTACAAAACAAATTGTTATTTGTAACTCCCAAATATGTATTCTAGAAACAATAAACTTACTATTTTGTGTTAATGGTGGTTAAAGCTTCAGGGGACATATACTACCTCACAGTGATTGGAAATTTAAAGTACGTCATGCAAAATAAAGAGATTACTTTGTTTATACAATGCAAATTTAAAGTATTATCAACATTTTTTTCTTTTAAAATATTCTGTTGTCATACAAAATAAGAAATATGATACACCAAAATTTATTCTGTAGTAGAATATATTATTGAAAATATAACTGTATATATAATGATAGGTATATTTATTTTCATCCTTGAAATATTTTCATAAAAGACATAAGATTTATCTTATTCATATCATACTTCTCAGAACTGTGTGGTTTAACCAAATCAAAACCAGTACAGAAGTCAGAATATTAAATTTATATAAACTCTTTTCAGCATTTTACACACAATTTTGGGAAATAAAACCTAGTCATCATTAATGTGAATGTATTCTTTTAATGTCACTTTGAATTCACACATTCCTGTAATTAACTTAGCAATTTACATATAAGAAGTTCTCAAGTATACTCATTTATTGCCAGACCAAAATAAAAGGTCAAATAAACCAAAGAGGTAGAGTGGATTTAAAATGGTCCCTGAGGATCAATTAAACTTACAAATGTTTATTAAGCATTAAGTTAATTGCTACTTAACTGCATTATACTTATACTATAAGGAAGATTAATAAATCTTGAATAGGTTACAGTTATTTGTTTCAAGAAATGGGAGCCCTTGATATCATACATGGGACAATTTAGGATTAGTACACTGTGGTATTATATTTCAATCCTTTTGGGGAATAAAATGCCATTAAAAAGCTATTTCCATGTCCAGAATGCTATGCAGTTATTTTAAATAGCACCCATACATTTTAAATGAATTCACTGTTAATATACATATATAAGGTTAATTGAACAAAACAAAGACAAAAATAAATACAATAGTACCAAGGGAGCTCATGGTAATGCATGAACTTTCAAATTCGAGAATAATTAATCATTCAAATGCTTTTTTAGAATATATAATTATGTAGAAGGGAAATTAATAGACATTATGGAAGGGCTTCCAGGAAGATTCAGAGAATCAGAAGTCACTTTGTTTACATAAGCACAGACCTAATTGAGAGTGCTTAGAAAACGATCACTGAAATAGAGTAGTTTTGAGCCAACAAAATGCTTGGCACAAAATCCAATGTTTTTTATTGCTTAGATATTTGAGTTATAGAAACTTTCAGTGCAGTTTGTTTATCACATGTGTTCAAGTTAATAATTATGCAAAAAGTTTTTTTTTTTTTTTTTATATCTGTATTATAATTGCTAAAGCATTCTCTAGGATTCCAGTACTCTGATTAACTTGTCTTGCTAAAATATGTCAAGGAATGACAAGCTGGATATCAACCATACGGTCACTTATTTGGAAGGTCCTGAGTGACAGAAATGACAGTTCAATTTAGTTAAACAGTAAGGTTAAAATAATTGAATTTGTTTTGTCTTAAGTGGAAAGTGTAAAATGATCTTGTTAGAATTCTTTACAAACGTGATCTTTATTATGTCAATGTCTTCTCCTTTATGACCTTTGATACCTTAAACCTTAGTTTAATTGACTTCTAACTCACTTATAAATTATGTTTGTTAACCAGTTTAAACATTGGTCCTTTGTCAGCTCTTCAACCAGGTTTAGTTTTTGATGGCAGAGCACCTAACTCCATCATATTTGCTACTACTGCATCAGTCTCAATGTATGGTAAGTGCTCAATTAAATATATGCATATATATTTTTTGAATAATATATAGATAAGTGAATAACTGAAACATTTCACAAGACACATTTTTAAAGGACTATATTTAATGTGTAAAGCTAAATCATGATATCTAAATTAATTCTTTATTTTTCTTCCTTCCTTCTTTCTTTTCCTCCTCCTTTACCCAAAATAGAATGGTAACCATAAAGTTAAAGGAATATAATCAGCTTTTTCAATTGTCATTTCACTTAAGTTATCAGAATCTCATATGTTTTATTTTCTAAATCATAAATCTTTTCATCTAATAATTTAAATGAATTATATTTAAATATATTCTTCAGCAAAAGTGATTATTTTCTACTTATATATTGTATAATTTATATAAATATAGAAAGGCAATTATATTTAAAAATACTTTACAACAATATTTTGAGCATACTGTATATTACTAGCACAAGACAAACAAATAGGCATTACTTATCATCTGATAAATACGTCTTAATAGTTATAGCTCATTTTTCTTTATAACAAATCTTAATGTTTGACTTCTTTTGGGTGATATAAAATACTGAGTTCTGAATGTAACTTTTAAATTTTGGGTTAATAATATTAGAATTGCAAAGTAACAGATGAATGTAAATGGAATTTCAGATTAACAACAAAAATGAATTTCATATTACATTTTCAAATGTTGTTGTTGTTTTTATGTGCCGTGGAGTCAGACCCAACTCATAGCAACCCCTCCTTGGGTTTCCGAGGCAGTATCACTATGTAAGTAGATTGCCCCATCTTCCTTCCCAGGGGTGGCTGGTGGGTTTGAACTGCCAGCCTTCTGGTTAGCAGTCAAGTGCCTTAGGCACTAAGCTACTAAGCTACGAGAGCTCCTAGTGATAAATATTAATGGAGATTATAATCTTCTATAGATAGGATAACTTTTATTACTTGTGTTGTTTAATATTAATATTTAACATTTAAATAAAAATTATATCAAAGTAGAAAGTCCATGAAGGAACAATATCTATAGAAATCAATTAACTATATGCACTTCAAATTTTCAGATTACCTCTGATAGAAAGTTTTTCTGTCCTGTTTGTGATGTGTAATTCCACACAGTGTTTTTCTCCCCTAAGGGAAATAGTTACTTGATTCAGTTCTTGGATAAAAATGAACTGTCACCATTGTTTGCTTTAAAAAGTCTTTTTGCCTTTTTTTTTTTAACACTGAATAAAAAAGAAAAATCAAGGTATAGGGGAATGCAGTCCAGCTGTTGTGGCAGAAATCAATATTTAAAACACACAATAGTGATTTTTCTTCCCTAGAAACTAGGTTTTTGGTGCACTTAATTTTCTATTTTATTAAAATGTCCAACTTTATCTAGAAAGGACTTCCAATTTAGCTTTAATTTCTGTTTAAGTTTACTGCTTAATAATGGGGTAGAGAAGAGTAATATGACTGTGCTTTGAATTTTAGTTGTACACTCTGTTGGGGGTTGTTGAAGCTTGTGAATTTCATGAATGGACAACAATCATATTCCTGGTTGAGTTAAGGAACCTGCTGCTTCTCTGTCCCTTTAGCCTTCAGCAAAGATTACTGGGTTCTGTTTTAATGGCTCGTTAAAGCAAAAAATGATTCCAAGTGCTCGTATCTAGAAAGGGATCACAAGCGTCAGGATTCTAAATATAGGTGCAAGTGAAAATCAAGTCTTCCTTTATCCAAACTCCTATTTGCAGGATAAGGGCATTTGGATGTGCTGGTTTATTAACTAAACTCTTTCCTATATTTTATCATTCTATTACAGTTTTGGTGTAGTGAGAAGAGCTTTCATTCTGAAGCTACACACCAAATGCATTGATTTTGCAAAACCTGTCCGCTGTGCTCAGATGCCCATCTTCAAATTTCTACCCTGTGCCTCTGGCCCCCAGGGTGAAGCACTGTCTGGGTGCATTAATGGCAGAATCACAATGTCAGTGTTAGTCTGACAGCAACACAGTACTTTGATGCCGATAACCCTGTTTCTTCCGCCTCTCACTACAGAAAAACTAAGGCTAAAGGTTAAAGGATGCAGTTTATTAAATAATTCAAGTCATTAACCTGCAACCTGCAAACCGATGGCAGACTAATAAGTTTACGCTGCCATGATTCATGTTTGGTGTTTACTAATGCTGAAGCATAAGGCTTGTTTGCTTTACTTTTATTGCTACACACTAATACAGTGAGGAAGGACGCGGGGAAAAAAAGGTGACAGGACCCACGCAAGGGGACAATAAGAGCAGCAGACTCACTTGCATAAAGAAGATTGAAGCCTTTCCACCCTCCCTCCATCTCTCGGTATAGGCCCCAGTGCACATCTGCGTCACTTACAGGGGAGGAGGAGGCGCTGAGGCAGAGAGAAAATTGTGCCGTGAGGACCTTGACAGCTTCACCGGCGGGCTTTTCCTTTTGCCTCCCTATATTTTCTGGAATACATATTTTTCTGTTTTACAAACTGACTGTATAAAGCCGCCCCTTCTCGCCTTGCAGAAGGCATTTGACTTTCTCAGAAACACCCGGCAAGCTATCAGGGTATCCTGGGAGAGAACAGTGACAGGGGCGCAGGTGCACGGAGAAGGCTGAGGGGTGCGCTCCTCCGTGACTTGGGGCTCTTTATCTCTTTTCCTCTTTCTGTCTTTCTGTGCTCTCCAGGCACCGAACTCTGTGCCACAAAGACAGGAAAACCAACATCTTTTTGGTTGAAGCTCTACCACGGATGCACCCCAGTGAGGTGTATTCAGCTGCTGCCGCCTCAGGAGCTTCGGAGGGCGCAGACCTCCTTCCCTCGCGGATCCTCCGCCACGGAGGAGTCCCTCTCCGCGACACCACGGGACCCCAGCACGGGCTTAGGGGATTCTCAGCCCTCTGCGCCCCTCTGCCGCCTCAGCTCCCGGCCGATTGGCCCCCCACGCCCAAGTCCTGAAGAACTGAACAGGGCTCAGTCGAGCGACTTTGCTGTCCGTGCTTCGGTCGTCGCCTGGCAGGGCGCTCAGCCTGCAGCGCCTAGCGTCTGTATCCTGGGGTGCAGAGGGCTCATCCCGCCTCCCTCATTGCCCACGGGCTCCGCTGGCCTCCCCCACCTGCTGGTGGTCTCCTACTGCGTGAGCTGAGGTTCCTTTCCCTCCCTTGCGTGAAGCATGTCAGGCTCTGGGCGAAAAGATTTCGATGTGAAGCATATCCTGCGACTCCGCTGGAAACTCTTCAGCCACCCGTCGCCATCCTCTGGTGGCCCGGCGGGGGGTGGCTGCCTGCAACAGGACGGTACTGGCAGCTTCGAGCATTGGGGCCCCAGCCAGAGTCGTCTGCTGAAGAACCAAGAGAGAGGCAGCGTGAGCACTTTCTGGAAGAAGCCTTCCTCCTCTTCCTCTTCATCCTCCTCCGCCTCCTCTTCCTCCTCTTCCTTTAACCCACTGAATGGGACACTTCTGCCAGTGGCCACGAGGCTGCAGCAAGGGGCGTCTGGACAGGGCCCCCAGCAGCCAGCCAGGACGCTCTTCTACGTGGAGTCCCTAGAAGAGGAAGTGGTGCCAGGCATGGACTTTTCTGGACAACAAGAAAAAGGGCTGGTCCTGCAAGAGCTCAAAGTGGAGCCAGCCCACTTGAGCCAGGCAACAGGTGAAGGATGTGGACACAGGTACCGTAAGTCCTCACGGACCATTCAAACATCCCCCAGTTTCATTCATTTCCCCATGTGCTCTATGGTTTCTAAGTTGAAAACTTCCAGGTTGGAATTTTGGTTAAGTGATGCCAGTCTCTTTTTTATTACTCAAGCTGTAGTATCATTAAAAGTTTGCTCATTAATTTCTATTGGTTCATAGATATTAACCCCCCCCCTTTTTTTTTTTGCAAGTTTTCATTGTTGTAACTACAAATTGAATATATACACATTTTGGTAACTCTTTAGCTGATAAGGTTCTCATACTTCTGAAATGATGATGTGTCATTAAATTATATTTGTCTTCTAGTTTTATGATGTGATGTGAAACTTGCTTTAAACACCATCAAAATCCATCTCCTATTCTGGACCTGCAACTGGCTTAATAAGCTATCTAGGATCCCTTTGGCTTGAATCTATATTCTAAGATTAATGAAGGGGACAAATGAGGCCAGTGGATGACATTATCTTCTCCTTCTCTCATTCTTCCATGAAATAGTGTTTGTCTATTCTCTATCCTAATCTCCCTTTTAGCTCTTTTATTTTCTGTTCACTTTTGCATTGTTCAGAATAAATCAGAATTAAACTGTTGGTGTGTCTGTTTACATTGAGCAGTCATGATTTGTTGTCTCAATATTGAAATTAGGTATCCTTACTGGTCAGGTCTATACTTATTTCCAGTTTATTCTCAATATTACATTTGTGCATGATTTTGCTATTTTCAAGACTTACAGAAAATCCTTCTTCTGATTTTTATATTTTTAGAGAACTGACATCATTATTCTATAATTCTCATTGCTAGTTTTTGCATATAATAAGGATATGATTAGATTTGTATTTAAAGTCATATGAAAGGGAAAACAATAAGTATGTTAATAAATTTTAATGACTACGATAAAAAAATGAAAAAAAAGGAGCAACTTCTTAAACATTTATTTGATTGAATCAGCTTTTTATAAAGCTAACTAAGTAACAAAAAGAGTATATAAAACATGAAAAATACATATAGGTACTCTTTAATTATGTTGATAATTGTAAATGAAGTTAGAGCCACAACAAAATTATTCCTGAAAATTTTCACCTAACTATATGGCAAATAACAACAACAACAACATATGGATTTACC